ACGCAACATATAACCAATTTTAAATTGTGCAATAATTGTAGTAAACTTTTGCCTTTCCGATTCAAACTTGTGTTTATTAATCAATTGTTTGTTAAGGCGATCATACCAAAGCATGCACTTGCTGCATGCATAAGGTTTATTCGAATATTTAACCAACCGAGTTTTAAATTTCAACTCTAAACTAATGTTTTTCAATTAAATGTTTTGAATATTTTGTAGTGAATGAAGAGCAGTTAATCTCTGTGTTTTTAATTTTGTACTCGTTTAATTTTGTAATCTTTTTTAAGCAGTGACCTTATATAAAAAAAATATTACTAAATTGCCTCACTAAGTAAAGATATGTGTTAGCAGAAAAATTTACTCTATATATGTCACTAAAGTAGCTTTTTAAGTCACGTTCAATCAAAGACTTCCGGCATTCCCAAAATCGAACTGAAGCCAAATACTTATCAGCATCTAAGAAGTCACTAAAATTGCATTTAACTGCCACTCCTGGAAAATATTTAACATCGCCACAATGGCTATCTTCGAAAACAAGACGATCTCTTGTTAAATCATTTAAATATGGAATGTCATCGTCAGCATTGTTATCAACGTTTTTTTCGCAAAGTAAACTTTTATTTTGTATTGTAACAGCGACTTTACTTTTTTTTTAAATGTTTTTTTTTTTTGGAATATAAGGAATCGTTGTTGGGTTAACTTTAACTGGGGTAGAAAAAGGAGAGTTTGGTTTTTCAATTTTTTTATTAAGGGTGTAGCAACTGGCAAAGAAATTTGTGTGATTGACGAAGACTCCTCGGGTCTGCTTTTTTTGTTTTTAATTTGGCAGCTTGGAGTGTTGCTGGTACAAATTCTGGATCTTTATCATAATCTTCCTTCTCACTTTCTTCAGAGGTAGAAAGAAGCTACTTATTAGAAATAACTCCTTTTTTTGCTCTTTTAAGCTTTAGTATTTTTTTAGACAGAAAACGCTTATTGTCCATTTCGGAAACTATTGAACGGAACGTTTGTGAACGTTTATAAAACAGAACGGAACGTTTGGTACGTTTATGAACAACACCTTAATGAAACTTAACTTGTTCAATATATTTTATGTTTTACGTTTTGTTGTATGATCAACCCCTTATTTCATGTTTTTAAAGATCTATTTACCTTTTAAGTAAAGAATAAATATAGTTTGCGAAATAATAACTATTTAAAAGAACCCTTTTGTCAAACAAAGTTTAATCAATTTTATATAGGTTATTGAGCACCTTATATCTGGAATAAAATTGTACAGCCTTATTTAGATTCTTTTCCTGTGTTTTTAAAAACAAGTAAAAGAATATTATTTTTTCTGCGAATAATATATTAAAATATTTTTGAGATATTATTTTACCCATTTCTTATTTCAAATGTTTTGGATTCTTATTTTGTTTTTTAACTAACTATATTATATTATATTTATATTGTTATTTTTATATGGTTTTGGCGACAAGATCGATATGATCTTCTTGCAGATCTCAAGTTTATATGTTTATATTACATGGAAGTCACAACATGAAAATAATGTAAATTGAAAAAAAAAAAAAAATAATAGGTATCCTGCTTCAACTTCATGTGTTGGTTAAAGAGTGCGATGTTATGACATGCTTCGCAGGTCTTACGAAGCAAAGTCTTACGAAGCCAAAAATATTTACCATATGCTACTTTTAAGCAAACTTTGCATTCAAAGGATTCCATTGTAAGTTTATTTTTTGAAATTAGTTATAAAACTGTGATAACGTCACATTTATAAACATATAAATATTATTACATCATTTAATAACATAAAATATATATTATTATCTTCTTTCCCTCTCTCTATATTTACGCGTGTGTATATATATATATATATATATATATATATATATATATATATATATATATATATATATATATACATGTTTATATTATACAAACATGTATATACAAATAAAACAGTAAGACATAATAAAATCTTACCAATTGCAGTTCATTTCATCAAAAAACAATTTTAATATATTTTTTGTGATTTAAAAACGAATCAAACAGCAGCCGTTCAAAGTGTTTGCATTGTTGAATTTACCGTCAAATTGTCTATCGAAATGATGTATGATATGTGAAGGCTGCCGTGTAGTTTGTCTCTAAACCGCGTTTTTATGTCCATAAAAAATGTTTTTCGACGGTATTTTTTGCAATTTTCCGACAAACGACAAGGCAGCCGTCAAAACGGTTTGCTTTTATATACTCACCGTTTGATCCTTTATTGAAGGATGTGTCATATGACGGCTGCTATATGGTTTGCTTTATTTGACGTTTTTCTGTTGCCGCTTATTACTTTTTTGCTGAAGTTTCTGTTAGATTAGAGACAACCTATAAGGTTTTGTCTAATTTTCTATGCGCCATTTTTCTTAGAATTCAATTTGCTATCGAAATCATGTCTAATACATGGCATTCGAAAAATTGACTTTTTCCCTGATCGTACTCACCGTTGAATCCTTTATCAAAATGATGTATAATATGAAGCGGATTTTATATAGTTCAGCTTAAACTGAATTACTTTTGTTTTTATTTTATTTTTACTTTAATGTTATCTTCATCGAATCCCTAAAAGTTGCACTGTGTTTCTTGTATAATTTTGTATCAAGAATATTGTCTAAAGTGTTGTTTATTTTTGGGCCAACAGTCTTACTTTATTATCGACGTAGATAATAAAGATAGACTGTTTTATTAGGGGTAAGACCTATTTTATATAAATGATATTATAAAATGAACGGTACTATATTTTGACAGGGCATTGAAGAACTAAATTCCTCTTTAAATTCTTCTTTTGATTAATGGCATTAATGCTATACCTTGAAGAACATATCTACAATACTTAAACAAAATGTATAATGTAATTACTGAGGGGGGGGGGGGACAAAATCCTCCAAACCTAACCCGCAGCAACATAATATATCGGGTTAATCTAATTAAAGTCAAACTATAAAGTTTAAAAATAAAGTTATTATTTTGTTAGTAACTAAACTGTTTATGTTTATTTTAGTGTCAAAGTAAGAACAATTATATTAAAACATGAAGTTATTTTAAGTTTTTTATAAAAAGCAGTTGCCTAGACTTTGCTTTTTGCACGAAAGATTATTTTGAAAAATGAAGGGTAAAAACAACAGTTTAATATTATTTTTGTTTTAAAATAATAGATAATGCTGTAGTGAGTCCACCGACGTTGTTTATTCTCATTTTTGTTTTAAAAAAGATGTCTTATATAATCTAACCCGTCTACATAAAAGTTGAATCTGAAATACACAATAAATCGCAATATTTTAATCCCGACTGTAAAAGAATTATGTAATAATCCCGACTGTTAAAGAATTAGACGGAAGAAGACTGTTAAATTAATATTTGTTGAAAAATAACGTCAAAAATCAACGTCTGTCGTTAAATTTTACAACAACTTACAACTGCCTAAATTCCGCCTACGACCTTTAGAGGGGGGGGGGGCATGAAAACAACACCCCTTTTTTGCGTTAAAATCAGATTTATGCATGGGTAACCATTTTAAACGTAAGTAAACTATCGCAACACTGAGTAGTTTACAAGTAGGGGCTGTTTTAGTGTTAACAAGATCAGGGAATCCGAAAATCGAGCTCAATCGTCGTCATCTTCATTATTTCTTGAGATTTAACCAATTTTTTGCTGTCCCGCCTATGGGTTCTTTTGATCACGAAATCTCATTGAGGCATCCTTGTTATATCGGAATAAATCAATCTGATAGTCCTGATCAGATGAGCTCTTTCAGATGAGCTCATTTTAGTATGAATCCGATAACAAAATTGTCTTTAATTTGTATTCTTTGTTATACCCTCAGGAATACGCGCCGAACCTTTCAATACCCTAAAGATTCCAGGCGGCTGCAACTATAATTCTCTTTATGACTGGCTCTAACGCTGTTTCCAGGTTATTTGCATTCAAAGAAGGCATTATAAAGCGTGCTATTACCACACTATCATCGTGCAAATCAGTTTGAAACTGATTTTATGAGATTTACTTTAAAATCAATTTCACATAGTTAATGTTTCTTCCAGTGCATACTTATTGTGTTAATTGTTAATTTATTATAGCTGTTTTTTAGATTTTGTTATTTTATTTGCCTAACTATTTACTCTTGTTGATTGTTTCCTAACTATTTACTCTACTTGATTGTTGATTGAAAATTTTCTGTTTTTTGTTAGGTTTACTTTTTATGTTAAGTGAGTTTTTTTCATAAGTTTATTGCTTGTCTTTTGTTTCTTTGTTTTAAATAACTTTTTTTCTGTTAGGTTAGTCGTTTAATTTAGTTGATTGTTTACATTTCATAGAAAATATTTTTCGCATATATGTCGGTTTTTAGTAAAATTTACTTGTTCGTGTTGAATGGAAATTTTTAAATATAAATTATTAAAAAATTTAAATTGCCTAATATAAATCATATTCAATGATATAATGCTAGTTTAATGATAAAAAGCTCAGATTAAAGAAAAGCTTACTGTTCTCAAATCTACAAAAGTAACTAACTTACTGAGTTCAATTTGTCTGTTTTAAAAAATAAAATTTAAGCAATAAAATCAAAAGAAAAATAATCTATACTAAAAACCTCTTTGTTATTAAAGTTAGATTACAATAAATTAAAACAATAACTGTTAGAGAAAATTGTATTTAAACTAATGAGTGATAAAACATACTTGTTTCTATGTCAGCTTGTCTGTTTAAAAAAATATTTTTACTATTTAATAATCCTTCTACAAACTAAAAAGAATATATAAATATATATATCTCTAATTAATAATATAACTATAATCTAATAATAATCTATAAATTTACTAAATAAGCCTTCCAGTGCACTTAATTGTTCTGAAAAATAAAAAAATAGTTGTATTTGGCTCCTTCTACAAGCAAAAATCTTAAAAGGGTTGTTAACGAGTTTACTAAAAAAGAAATCATTTTTTTTATAAGTTTTTTGTGGTTCTTCCAAAAATAAACTACTATTCAAACCTAAAGTGACTTGAAATTATGAGCTGATTATTTGATCCCAAACAAGTGACTGACCATCAAAGTGCAATACACCCCAAAATATTACATCCTAAGATGGTAGTTACCTTCGAATTTACAAACTGTTGAATATTTTGAAGCCAACATCTTTTAGCTCGTGACGTCACGTTTGGGCAACACATAACGCTATACAAACAAAATAAAGCTTTAAGAATAGAAAACTTTTCGTTAAATGTAAAATTTTGTAGTAAATATTATTATTATTTTTTTTTTAAATATCATTAAATTTATTATTTGTATCAATTAATATTTTAAGGCATTTTTAGATTTCTCAGATTAGAAAACGTTAAAGTTATTACAATTTTATGTGTTTTATTATCCATTATATTAATATACGAAAAAACTTTTTATTAGTTCGAAAATAAATTTGTTTTGTTAATGCAATTCGTATACGTTTATTATGTAGTAAATCGTTGATCGAGTCAGCTTTGTGATGCAATCTTATCTATAAATATTTAGCAATATTAATTCTGCACCACTTTCATAAATAAATTTCAGAAAACGCTTATATATATTAGTTTTTTCAAAACCGCCTAAACCATCATTTAAAAAATATTCATCAGAAAGTTTCCAACGTCCATTTACACAGTTTACCATTAAAACTAAAGCTTCTTTTGTTTTGGATTAACTATCATTATTGATATTTACATTCAATTTACAAATGTTTATTTTGAAAGAGCATGATAAAAATAAATTTAAATTACATAAGTTAAATTTGAATTACATTCAATTTACAAATGTTTATTTTTGAAAGAGCATGATAAAAATAAATTTGATTAATTGAAATAAATATTCAGATACTGATTGAAATTTAAAGTTGAACGCAAATTATCTGTTTGTTAACATTTACATTACAAATACTCACCAAAGAAGTGCCTTCGTTTTATCAGATTATACATGTTTAAATACCCTATTCGATCGAAATATACTTCACATAGATAACAATAAAATTGATAATATTGAATTCTATATTAATAAACTCACAGATGATTCAAACGTCAAAAATTCTTATGCGGTAGTGGTGTAGTGGTAGAGCGCTCGCTTCATAAACGAGTGGTTCCGAGTTCGATCCCCACCACGTCCCTGGTAGTACCGCGCTCAACTCGTTTATCCGCGCAGCGGCCTTGTTCGTCAAGGTTCGTGTTTTGGAGTTATAGAGTTGAGAGAGGGTTATAGCCACAAAATAAGTAGCCTCCTCGTCTGTAGTGGCCTTCTCGGCCTTGAGGAGGTGAAGTAAAATAAAATAAAAAAAAAACTTAAAGAAAAAATAAAAATACTAAAAGTGTCGCTAATATCATTCCAAATCAAACTAAAAATATGTGTACGAAGCACTTAGAATGGTTTAAAAGGCATAGTATAATTGCCATTAGTAGAGAGCTTTTTAATAATGGTAATGTAAATATTCACCTTAGTAACTCCATGGCTCCAAAACGATGTCGTATTATTTACATGAGCATAGAACAAAACATAAAAGAGTGGCATGATCACAGAAAACTTAAAAATACAGCTGCTTGACTATCTAATTTACTTGGGTTTTTTTTCAGAAACTTTTTAAGTTTTATATTAAATTAGAATGTTGTTTAAAAAAGGGCATCTACACCAGCCGTACGCAATTCGGAAAATATTCAAAAAAGTAAATAATTTGAATCCTTCTTCTAAAGCTAAAGTAAAAAAATGCCTAAACTTTATAAGCCTAATTAATAAAAAATATGATTGTAGCCCTGATAAAACAGTTCCATCAAGACTCAAGACTATTGTTCCATCAAGACTCAAGACTTTAATTGTGTTGGGCCATGAACAAAAAGTAGAAAAGTTTCCTCTATGTTATGCTCAATGATTGCTCTATGTTATGCTCAATTATGCTCTATGTTATGCTCAATGCTACAGATTTAGTGTACTAATGCAAAACTTTACGTTTTTTAATCATACTTGCTAGAGACCAATACATTTTTAAATTAAACAAAACAATACCTTATTAGTAACTGATGAAGAAACAGTGAATTCAATATATGGTTGTAAGACAATAAAAAATTTAAATTTTCTTGAAATCATGTTTTGCAATCTAATTTTGCTATGTTAAAATTCAAATTTGGCAATATGGTTTTGTTATGTTTAAACCATTAACAAAGTTTATTAAAACCTAAAGTTTGCTCCCATTGTAATTTTTCCAAGATAAAAGCATTTTGAAAATTTTATTTTTGAACTTTTACATATAAATAAATTCTCATTTCATCATATATAATAGTCGTTTCTGGATAATGTTTATTGTGCTCTTTTAACATTAATGTTATATGTTGGTCTACACTTGAAGGATCTCCTAAACAATCATTTGCAACCTGCAGCTTTATAAGTCAGAGTATAAAATCTTAAACTATTTTATGAAAATAATACTTGAATACTACCTTAAAATTAATTAGCTATTAAAGTTATTCATTGCAATAAAGATTCAGCCTAATTTCGATTGACAAAACCCTGTTTAAAAATAAAATTAATTACCGTACCTCACATATAGTTATCTATACAGATTTATTAGCATCAGTCAGGTGACTTTTGGATGCAAACCTTTTATGAGCTTTAACTGATTCATCATTAGAATGTTCGAACTTTATGATTTCAATAAGTTTATAGGCTATCATATCATGTGACTTGAAGAAGAAAACATTAATATAGAATAATATGAATTTATATCAATTCACAATATAAGTATATATTAATTTACATTTATATTAATCTATAAGTATATATAAATTATTTATACTTTGAAATAAATAGAAAGTAATTATTATGCAGTTTTATACCATACATATGTAAAAATGCTTTGTTTGATAAGTATAATTTGTAATAAGCATTTTACTTTTTATGCCATCAAATTTCCGAAATAAATTTATTAGTTAAAAACATCAAATTGCCAATAATTATTGTTTTTTTACAGAATATTCAAAGAACATTTATTTCAGAAATCAGACTTGAAGAAACAATTTAAATAAATACTCACATTTTACTTAGATGATTTGTCTTTCTTACAAGATTCTTACAAGAGAATGCAAATCTGCAAACGACTCTAATGAAGCCTTGTTCTTTGCTTTTTGTAGGGCAACAGAAATGTTTTGACGAAGAACAGGCATGATATACACAAAAGAAAAACACACACGAAGTGTTCTCGTATCTGCACAAGGTTGGGGCGCAAAATCGCAATTAAAAAAATATATAAAACATTGAATTTACTAAATATAACATGCTTCATTTTTTAATTAAAAATTTATAAACTATAATAAAAATATGACAAAATAACTTGGAATCAGAGTTATACAAACAAATGTTTAAAACTCAAAGCAAGCTCATAAAGTTAGTAACCTATTAAATTAGAACTCCCTTGTTGCTCAGACTTTAAAGTGACAGGAATTTCAAGAGTCCAAAGTTGTTTGAACCCTAGAATAAATAAAACGTTTTATAAATAATGTAAAACAGTGCCATAATTAAAACTTAATTAAAAATTAAATAAAACAGTGCAATAGCACCTCATGATCATTTATTTCTGTGCGATCATAATTCAAAACTATCACAACAAAGTTGAACAAGTTGTACTTTTTTTGTTCAGTTAATTAAAACGATTTACACAATGTAAAAATAAACGATTACAAAAACTTATAAATTTTCATAACCTTTATTAATTATAACATTACTGTAAATATAGGAACAACCTTTTGGCTTTGAAACCAACAAATGTCAACAATTATCAGCAACAAAAAACTTTTTCCGAACTCCGTCGCTTGTCGAAACTTTAAGGTGTTAAACATTTTTAAGCAATAACTAAACCAAATAAAAAGTAAAGAAGTAATTCAAAATCATTATATGTATGATTTAAAGTCTATGATAAAGTAATACTCTCAAACAAACAACATTAACAACAATATAAACAACATTAACAACAACAACAGATTATTATTTTCATTTACAATCATTACATTAAACACATTTAAAATATATAAAAAATATTTTTTTAAATAATAATGTTAAAAAAACATGAACACCAAAACAGAAAAACTGATAACAGTTACTAATTTTATGATATTATTCAAACAGAACAAATTATTTACCATAAAACTAATTGAAAAAAAAAAACATTTGATGATACGATATCCTATTCCTGTCTCTTTTTGCGTTCCAGCATTTTTTTGGTGAAATTTTCGTTCCAGCTGACCAATGGGATTGCTTCAAAATGAGCATGTGACTTGAAGAGCCAATGAGAATGGATCAGAATGGCAAAATCAGATTCACCTAGTTATGAAGAAGCGTGCAAAGACCAGAAACCAACGCAAGGAAAATATTAAGAAAAAAAACTTTTTATATTTGTATTATTTTTTATTTACAATAAATATTTTGCTGCATAAAAAATTACATTTCTTATTTTCTCATAACAATGTTTTTTATCTTTATTTAAATAAAGCGGAGACGATCCTATAATCTAAGTTTCTTTATCATTTCCTTTATTAATTTAACGCAAACATATTCTTTTTGTTCAAAATAGTTTATAATAATAAAATAACAATACAAGTTTTGTAAACTTTGTAAACTTTTTCCCAAAAAAGTGTTTCTACAAGTATTTTCCTATCTTCTGGATATTCGACATATCTATACGCTAAATTGTTTATTAAAAAATAAACTTCTTGTAAAAATAAACCATTTTTATTAATAAACTCTTTTTCTTCCGCTGAATCATATGAATAATCTTTTTTTATATTATCAACATTTCATCCTTTTTTTTCTTTTGTAATATCTATATTATTATCTATAACTATCTATATTATTATCTATAACTATCTAATAAAGAACAATTGTACGTATTGTAATTACGTAATTGTACGCATTGTAATTACGTACATACGTATTGTAATTAACAATTGTATTGTAATTGTATTCTTTACTATACGCTTTTTTGTTGTTTTGTTTTTGTTAACCGTATTCAAATAAATGATCTATATTTATATTATACTCAAACTTTGTTGAACTCATTTTGTATTTTAAATTAAAAAAAATGTTTTTTTTTTTTTTTCAGTTTATTACAAAAAAAAAAATAACAAAATATACTATGTATTAGGTTGACCGGAAAGTAATGTCGTATTTTTACGTCAAATTAAAACAAATAATTTTTTTATAATATTTATTTTAAATCAATGATATAATCACCCTCATTTTCCACAACCTTTTGCCATCGAGCGGGCAAACTTTCGATACCAGATCGAAAAAAATGTATTGGTTTGTCATTAAAATATCTGGAGATGCCATTTTTTAAGCAGTACAAAGTTTGAAATTTTTTGTCACTTAGAAAGTGCTGTAAGGATCGGAACAAATGAAAATCTGAAGGGGCGATATCATGTGAATATGGAGGGTGGGGCAGCACCTCCCATCCCAATTCATTATTTTTTTCTTGCGTCCGTCGTGCACAGTGCGGCCTTGCATTGTCATGTTGAAGAATGACACCTTTTCTGTTGACGATAGCCGGGTAATTCTCAACTAGAGCTTGGTTTACTTTATCCAATTGTTGACAATAAAGGACCGCATTAACAGTTTGTCCAGGAATAAGCACTTCAAAGTGGACGATTCCGCGGATGCTCCACCAAACACACAGGAGCGCCTTCTTGGGGTGTAATCCCGGCTTTGCAGTACTGCGTGCTGGTTCATTTGGGGAGAGCCACTGCCTTTTGCGTTTTGGATTATCGTATAGGACCCATTTTTCATCTCCAGTGACCAAACGATCATGAAACGGTTCTGCATGGTGCCGTTGAATCAATGCATTGCACGTGGTTGATCTGTTGGCTTTGTTTTGCACTGACAAGTTATGGGGGACCCAAACACCTGCTCTGCTGATTTTTCCTATCTGGTGTAAATGTTCTTGGATGGTCGACCAAGGTTGGTTAAGGGTGTTCGACAATCGAAGGTTTGGCATAGATTTGCTTCAACTTCTGCCCTTAGAACGTCGTTGTCTAATGACATTGGTCTTCCTGGTCGATGGGCGTCAAAAAGATCAAAATTCCCAGATCTAAACTTGGAAAACCATCTTTGGCATTTGCGAACATCTAATGAACCTGGGTAAACATCACTAATGTTCTTAGTCGCAACTGTAGCGTTATTACCCTTGCGAAATTCAAAAAGCATACAATGACGAATATGTACTTCCTGTATTTCGTATGCCATTTCACTCCAATTTGCAAAGAAAACTATTTAATTTTAAATAATTTAAAAGTAAACAAGTCACACTAATATAAAAATAACCTGTGCACGTGTTCGAGATAAACTGGCCAACGATTATCGAATACAACATGCGCTAAAACGACATTACTTTCCGGTCAACCTAATACAATATTAAAAAAAATACATCAAAAAATTTTTTCAAAATTATTTACACAAAATTATTTATACAAATAAAAAATATCAATCTTGATATTCCATCGCCTAATTTAACCAAATTCTTCTTTATGTCTCTCTCTTTTCCATCATCGCATCTCGAATCGCCTGCATCGTGTTGAATGTGCAAATACAACAACCTATGCAAGCTCCTTGCATACGACGAAAACAACAAGGTTTTCGCGGTCTCAACGGAGCAAAGCATTGGCAACAACCTATACAGGTCGATTCGATTGATAGTACTACAAAAAAATATTATTCATAATATTGCTATACAATATAAAATAACTAAATAAATAACAAATAAAACAAAATAAATAAATATTAAATTATTACAAACTACAGGTAAATTCAATTCATAATTATTTCTTTCAATCAATTCATCTTCATCTTCATCTTCCTCTGGCGGTGGTGGTGCAATCGGTTGAAAAAGATTTCTTATTCGCCGCTGTATTACTTGTTCTTGTTCTCGTACTTGTTGTTGTTGTAGTTCTTCCTCACTCATGTCCTCACGTGGGCTATAAGGTTCTACAATCTAAAAAACAAAATGAATATAATATAATATATAAATAGCATAAAAAAAATATAATAGAAAAAAAATAATAATATAATTACAGCAATTGGTTTGTTGTTACATTGATTATCATATTATTTATTTTTATTATAAAAAAAATATTGATTCTTTTTTTAAAAACTTTATTCTTAAGCAAATGATAATATTTAAAAAAAAAAACATTTTTTCTCTTTTTATTTAATGCGTTACGCGTATTAACTTTATTTAAATAAAAAGTTAAAAAGATTTATATTTGTTTAAATACAAGGATCATTTTTTATTTTTAACACACCTACATTGCGTTACGGGTATTAACTTTTTTATATAGTCAGGATTATTTCTTTTATTAAAAAATTTTTTTTTTTTATAAAACACAAAATAAAAGCTTTGAGTTTTGACGCACAAAATAAAAGCTTTGACGCACTAAGCTTGCGCAGTAAACTCTTTTTTTTATAAGTCTAGACATCCGAAGGCGTATGCCGCGCAACCCCCCTTGCGGGGGTGCGCATGCGCACCGATGACTCAGCGGCAGAGTATGACCTCCGATTCCAATGCCTAATGCCCATTGGTTACTTAACGGTCACGTGGCACAGAACAATGCCGGAACACTCGCTTTTTTATTATACATACCATTTTATCGAATCAGATTTTGCCATTCTGATCCATTCTCATTGGCTCTTCAAGTCACGTGCTCATTTTTTAACAAATCCATTGGTCAGCTGGAACGAAAATTTCACCAAAAAAATGCTGGAACGCAAAAAAAGACAGGAATAGGATATCGTATCATCAAACATTAGTGTAGAATAAAGTTAAATTTAAAAATTAAAAACGAGTTTTAAGGTAAATAAAACCAATCATTATCAGTCAATCAATCAAGCCATACTACAACTATATTTGCCTGTGTGGGGTCAATAGTTATTTTTTTTTTTTCAAATTAATAGTCTGGGGGTGTATGGTCTAGGTGGGGAATAAATGTCAAATTGAAATGGTGGGTTGAATTATAAATATGTATTTATATTTAATATTGTAAACTATTTTAACTTATATTTACGCTCTTGTGAATATCATACTGCACCATTTACGCTATATGAACTAGGTGGTTGATGATTAACAATAGCTCTTGGTGTGTAAACAATCCATTCATCGCTCTTTTCAGTATTGTGATGTAGTATATATCTTGAAGTATATATTTTGAAGATGTGGGTAATAAGCAGAAGAATAATGGAGAATACGACATGCAACCCATAGGCTATGCAAATATAAAATGTATTCAATTTTGGCGAACAGTGGAATGCATTCTTCATTAGGGGTAAGAAAGTTTTTAAAACGTGATAACAGACAGTATATTTTTTCGATTACTAATTATCTCAATCCCATATATTTGTTTTGTTTTTATGCAAAGACTGGTTGGAAAAACTGAATAAAGCAGAAATTGCTGTAAACCTGGACTAACCTCAGAGATGAATCCATTCATTTTCTGGTGACAAAACAGCACATTTTGCCATCTGGTGTCTCTCTGCAAGAGTTTAGTAGTGTTTCTAAAATTTTTCACCCGATAAGCAATTTGCTTTAATTACTGATATTTTCCTACAAATCTTAGACACCAAAGAAATCTTAGCGGACCAAACAAGGCAAAAGAGCATTCGTGATGATGAACAAGAAAATGTATCTTGAGTGTAAATGAATTTAGGTTTAATCTTGTTAATAACTTATGGTGTCTAGCAATAAGCTGGGTGTCTACAGGAATCCACCATGTCAATACCCGATAAAAAAATAATTTGGCATATTTTATTGCATAAGAAATGCAGCACCCAATATCCATTTTCATTCGGTACAACCTTTCCAATATATAACGGAAAATGATGAAACAATTATCACCTCACCACAGCCTTTTTACTGATATGGTTGTTACCGAAAACTAAGTTAATGGAACGTTTAAAGTCAATGGTTTATCACAGCGTTCAGTAATCCATTATTCAAAATATTTTACTATATTTCTGAGCTCACAGACTGTCTAAAACTACACTTTAACAAGTTCTTTTATATTAATGCTAAAATTAACACACATCAGTCCTTCCAATATGTCATGTAATATTTCCTGGGGCAATGAATCAGTCGAGTGAAAATAAGTTAATATAAAAATCGGGCATTCTTTTTTAATTTCATACACTGGGATCAGAGTTAGATCAAATAACACAGAGTTAACATACAATTATGACTGATTTTAGTTCTCAAATCACATTGACTTTCAGTTTTAATATCACGAATGTTAATGTGGTACCAGTCAATTTCGACAAACAGGCCAGACGCTTAACATGCAATTATATGTGCAGACAAATTATCACCACATAATGTAACAATGGAGTGTTATACCTTTTTTTGTGTGCTATACCTTCAACAATAATGTTAATACCTTCATTCTGAAGTATGATTATATTGTTCAACAAATGTTTTAGAATTAATGCGTAGCCGTGTTCTTTCTTTACATTATACTTTGAAATCATTGTTAAATTAATGTGGTTCAATAATGATCAATATTTATTCTAAATATTGCCAATAATAAATTTGAAAACTCTTATTTTTTGAGTTCTATTTCTCCTTCCTAGTGGGTTGCATATCTCAAGTTCATCACTATAGAAATAGAGTCTGATAGTCACAGCAAAAATGTTTTATTTGTTACTGCCATAGTTTTCCAAATTGCCAACAAAGGAACAAAGTGATATTTAGCTTTAGCTTGATTTTTATTTTCTAACGTAGCAATAAATCTATTGTCAATTGGTGCAACGTAGCAATAAATCTATTGTCCATTTTGTGATCTGTGAATGTTGATTTTGAAATACGTTTAAAGAATAAATCTTCAAGACTTTGGCTGTACACATAATCTAGTTTTCAATTAATTCCTTAGTGGTCAAGTTTAGCCCGATTATTGAAGAAATACTGCTTTGATATTAGTCAAACAATGTTTGAACTTGCTCGAAAATTTGCTTTGTTACTGGTGATTTCGGAAGCATAAATTTTTCTCTATAATATAGTTGTGCGACAGTTGTCTAAAAAAACATTCACTAAAATCCATAAAAACACGCATTTATGACTCGTCGATATTTAACAACACATTTTCTTTACACTCCCTGGCACCATTTTCCTCTGTTCTCTGATTGTCGAATTGTATATTTACTGAGTCTGTATATTTTTGTAAAATTTTATAAAGAGAAATTTTATGGCATTTAATAAAGTGCCATTTAAAAGTATTAGCTGTTTTATAGAAATACTTACATTCACCAAAGCCACACTCTAAGTTAATGAATTTATCTCCAGAGTGCTGAAGAAGCAAATGGTTCACTAGATTACCACAACTGAAAAAGTGTTTTCGACTATATATGATCAATCAATAAAGAAAGAAAATGTTAAGACACATCAGTATAGGTAGAAAATGTTCTCTTATAACGGGATGGGTGAAAAATCCAACTTTATAACGGGATGGGTGAAAAATTCTACCTTATTTTTGCTAATAAACGGTTTGCTGTTTTAAATTTGATTTGCGTTAATGGTGTTTTTTCAAAACCCTATAACAAATTCGCGACATTTATACCCTAAGGAAGAAAAATCTACTCCAATATCAATATTAGGATTAACTAGGAGTAAATATACCTAAAGTTATAAAATAACACCCCGATTTAACAACAACATGTTATCACGTACAACATGTTATTAGTCACGTACAACATGTTATCACGTACAAATACAATTTGATTTGAAAAAAGGAAAAATACCTTACTTCCATAAAATTTATTTTATTAATAACTCCATTTAGGTTTAAAATACCATATTTATATTAACCATTATAAGAAACCATATTTATATTAAAAAAAGTAATATTTTTATTTTATTCTTTAAAACCTTTAAGTTGTATTTACATCACAAACCCCAATAAATGATTCATACAGCAACTAACAATGTTGTAGAGTTGAAAAATATGTTGTAACTGAAGCATTTTCAAGTGGGTGGTTAAACGGTACATACTGTTCGATATTGTAATGAACAAATTTATACATTAAGTTTATCTACTGTGTTATATTACCATATCTAATATAAACATAATACATATACAATACCATAACATAAACATCTTTAATATAATTTTTTTTTTGTAATTATTCCTTACATTAAAGACAGCGAAAAATCTTTTGGTTTCCTTGTATTATTTGCACATGAGTTAATTAAACTGTTTTTAACACAATTCAACTTTTACATTACATTAGCATGAGACCAAATTCAGATTTCTTGCAAAAACAATTTCGATGTTGAAAGCTTTCGGTGTTGAAAGTTTATATCCTTTTTACTGCTGAAATTTCTGGTTAAATAGCATTTAAAAAAAAATTAACCAAAACATCAAAGAACATCTTTTAAAAAAAGCATTAAAATGCTCTGCAGTGGACTGTAAATAATTGTTCTGCTTAAAAAAAAAAGTAAGGATGTTTTAATTGTAGACCATCACTGTTAAGTTAATTTCTCATCAATTTGCCATTTATAGAATCAAATGGACACTTTATACCTAAAACAAGTAATAATCATAAAAACCAAAGTCAATAAATGTGAAGTTGTTTATCTAGACTTTTATCTAGACAGTTCTTTATCTAGACTTCACAAAAAGTATTTTTAGCTTAACTTTCCATTTCCTTACCACATTGTGTAAATTTGTTTTTCAATTCTTTTCTTATATTGTATGATTTCTTCTAAAGAAGTTCACTGATAATATTTTTATTTATGTGATATACATTAAAACACACTGAAGCTGTAATTCTTTCTGCCCAATGAACCTGCTGAGCTGGTTACTGATTTTGCTGAAATGTTACAATAGCAAGTCGGTCATATATATATTTTTTTAATATGTTTGGCTTAAGTAGTTGTATAATTAAAATGTTTTAAAAGCTGGGATTCAGCTAGATTTCTGCGAGTAAGATCAAGCAAACTAGTTACAGGTTCTAGTAGAAAACTTGTCTCATCCTCTGACTCATTATCACTGATTTATGATTGCTATTACAACCTAATAAAGAATATCAGCATTAGGATTGGATTGACGTAAATTATTAAAGTCGCTAACTGATATGCGATATAATGAATCAAAATACGAATAGTTCACTTTTTTTAAAACATGATTGACGCTCTAATGTTGCTTTTTTTTTGAAAAAAAAAAACAAAATTATTAA